TACCAGGGCCGGCTCCAGGCACCAGCTTACCAGGCAGGTGCTTGGGGCGGCCACTCCGGAGAGGGGCGGCAGGTCCAGCTGTTCGGCGGCAATTCGGCGGAGGGGCCCTCACTCCCGCTCGGAGCCAAGGACCTCCCGCCGCATTGCCGCCGCAGATCACGATCGCGGTAGTTTTGTTTTGTTTTTTGTTTGGCTGCTTGGGGCGGCCAAAACCCTGGAGCCAGCCCTGCCCCCTACAGTCTATTTCCCCCCACCCAGGGGTGCCCCCTACAGTCTATTTCCCCCGCCGGTCACAGACCCCCACAGTGTCTTCCCCCCGGCTCACAGCCCCCCGCCGCAGGGTTCCCCCTACAGCCCATTCCCCCCCACCACCAACCCCCGGCTCACAGCCCCAACTCACTCATACCCCCCCCCCGGGATTCTGCCTCCCCCAGCTTCCTCCCCTTGACTTCCATGCAAATTTTACATAAAATACATGCAAATTAGGCCCCTGGGCATGTGATGGGTCAATGATAGAAGGGCAGTTTGGGGGTCCCCCTGTGGGGTGTGTTTGGGGGTGTTGGGGGGAGAACCTGGCTACTTCCCAACTCCCCCGCATTGCCCATTGATCTCAAAGAGCCAGGGGCCAGGCTGCCCTTAGTCAAAATGGCCACCAACTCCCACTGCTCTCGACGGGCCTGAAGCCAGCCTACCCTCCCCTAAAATGGCTGCCCACATCCCTTACCCAATGGGACTGAAGCCAGGCTGCCCTCACCTAAAATGGCCACCTCCTCCCATTGCTTTCTCTAGGCCTGAAGGCAGGCTGCTCTGATTGTACTATATCACCATGGTAACTGAGCCCCCCTCCTCACAGCCCCACTGGGAGATGTGAGCCCCAGAAAGCAGAAAAGCCCCTGAACCCCATAGGTCTACTGGAGTCAATAGTAGGATTACCATATTTTAATTAAAAAAAAGGACACTCCATGGGCCCCAGCCCCGCCCCCTCCCCTGAACGCTCCGCCCCCTGCTCCTCCCCCTCCCCGGCTTCCTTCGCGGGAAGCCTGAAACGGGGACAGGGACGGGGGCGGGGGGCACGAGGAGACGCAGCCCAGTCCGACCCCCCCGGCCGAGCGGCTCCCTCCGGCGCGGCCGGCCGGCCACGGGCAAGAGGCTCTGGCCCCGGCGTCTCCGGCCCGGCTTGGGCCCTGGGGCGCCGGCCCCAGCCGAGCACTCCCAGCCCTAGCGACTCCAGCTCGGCTCAGGCCCCGGTTCCGGCCGAGCGGCGCCGGCCCCAGCGGCTCCAGCCCGGACCCAAGCCCCAAGACCTCTCCCTATTTGCCCCGGATTTGAGGACCAAAAAGCCAGACATGTCCGGGAAAATCCGGATGTATGGTAACCCTAGTCAATAGGCCACAAGATCAGCTGCTAGGGACACACATCCCAAGAGAG